GGCTATAATAAGTTGTTGAAATTAACTTCCATATCGTTACATTTGTGTTTATAAATCTACGTTAGGCTTTATTGTTTTTAATATTAAAAAATAGAAGAAAGCTTAATTTTGAGGGTAAGAATAGGTTTTTTACAAAAATTCTAAATGCTGATAACGAATATAATCGTCATTAATTGTCACCCTCCTGGGAGAATATATCTTTTTCATCATTTCCTTGACTTTTATTTACCAAAATTTAATAGTCTCAATCTCCCTAATAAACGAACTTTCCTGCAAAACTTCAGAATTTTTTGACAAAAACACAGGCGTTATTAAGCCTCAAACAGAGTAAATAAAGAGTCATTTTTAACCGATTGCCATACTTTTCCTCTATTATATACAACAGCAGGAAAAGTAAAAATATCAGACAGTGCATTTAGACAGTGCATTGCAAAAACATTTTTAATAGAATATAAAATTATTTTATGTATAATATTTAGAATTATTGAAATTAAGCACCTCCCTTATCCACAAAAAGATTATCGTATATTTGATTTTTGCTGCAAGGAGAAAACTTCCAGTTATTGTACAACGATCCATCGGTATAGTTAGAAATCAAAGCGCCGTACATAACATAATTTCCTAAATAATCTCTTCGGNCTTTTTTAATGGAAATTTTTTTTAAGAATAATAGTACAGAACGATGAACTTCACGTAGATTAGTATTTTATTTTAAATAAATGAGTAGATAAACCTCTTCACTGAAGACCGAGCTGGAGGCAAGGCTGTTCAATTATCCACGACTTCCAAAAGTTTACTACGTTGCGAAGTTGTAGAAAGTTAAAAAGCCTTGAAATGTGAAGATCGAATGTAAATAAGACAATGTGTCAAATAAGCAGTCGTGCACAATACAGCAATATTGCGAGAAGAGTGGTGAGTGATTGAATGTAGCCAATCATGTTAACTATCAAACGTTATTAAGAGATTTATATAAAAGCGGTGGAATGTTTCTACAAAAATTCCTAATTTTACATTCAAGCAATTGAGAAATACGAAGTTATTTCTACTGCTTGCCTGTATTATTTATAATTACCGACAAACAACAGATTTATATATCAAATGTAAGTTTCTATTTAATGATGTGATTCGTTAGAGTAATTATGAAGCAAAACGATAGATTTATATGTTTACAACATTCATTCATAAGGAAATTTTTGCCATTAACTTTGTTATCAGCAATAATAAATAAAAATAGTCTGTTAGTCAATTATTGTGTTATATAAACTAATATTGCACAATATTTTTAGACTTACTTGTAAAAGCCTGACCAACTTTTCCCTGAAAATCTCTGTGGCAAAAGGCTATAAACATGCACCAAGTTTGTTTCGAGTTTGCAGCCAAAAGTTCCGAGTATGCAGTAGCTTTGTCAACGTAACTATTTAAATAATACGTGGGATTGTTCGGATTTTCTATAACAGTAATTTTCTCCACGTTAATTCTTATTCCTTTAGGTGCATCTTCCTTATTGAAGTCTAAATTTCTGAAAACTTTGTCTGCAACTTTCACATGATATAACATTTCTGCGATAACTGTTCCACGATCTCTATTAAAATGATCTACAAAAGTGTGGTCTGCCATTACCTCTATATTGCACATTAACGTGTTTCTACGAATAATTAGAAAACATAAATGAGTTCAAGCAATTTAGTCTCGTTACAATTATAATTGTTGAAATAACATATAATTCCACAATTAATTCAGAAACGCAAACGAATTAAACTCACTGTTCATCAACTGTAGACTTTCGTAATAAATGAGACCTCCCGTTTTCCTTATAATAAAACAAATTAGTATTTAATGTATGATGTATTATTCTCTTGTTCAAACAGGACCGATATCGTTCGAAGCTTTTGCATCCGACAGGTTTTACGTCTACGTCTTTATAAATTATCAATTTATCTTTAATGGTTTCGTCTTTTAAGTACGCAAATGCGTTTTCTGTGAAATAAGTTTCGTATTTTAATTGGATTTTGCCAATAAATCCATTTCTGTGAAGGTATCCATTTACAAATGATTGTTTGTCTCCCGAAACGGTGCCTTTGTATATTGAAGAGCCTTCGATGTTCTTCGGATATAATTTGATAATTTCGTCTGCAACCATATAGACTTTGGCACTTGGAGATATTATTGAATTGTCTTCCTGCAGTACCAGTTCAAACTTCTTTTTGAATGCTCGAAATTTTACCGTAATTGCTGTCTTTATTTTTATGTTTTCTAGTGTTTCACCTTCAGTGAAATTTGCTTTGAAATCTATTATCTCGTAATACTCGATCTGATCCAATTTTTTATAATTTAGTAAAGACACCGATAAAGAAAAAGAAACAAAAATATTTAGCAAAATTACCAGAGAATTCATTTTGATAAAATTTCCGATGATTACAATTTATTTGTTTCGAAACAATTGTCGAATATACAATTCATTAGATTATTATAAAAAATATATTGTCGACATAAAATTAAATTGTATAATTTTTAAAAGGAGCGTAAATAATATTGCACAAAAATACTATGATCTACGTCATAAAATATTTAGAAAATTCTTATGACGAGGGACTATTCATGACTATTATGACGAAAAATTCATGATGTAATATGCATGCAAAAATATGTATCAATTTTTCTTTCAGTGGTTTTATTGTTATTATTATTTTACTTAATACATATTATTCGGTATAATTTATTAGATTTGGTTAGGTTAGTTTAGAACGTGCGTCCCCCACTGTTTCCTTTCTTCTGTTTGCTGGAATTAGAGACGAGCCGCCATTTTACTCACCATAGGTAGCATTATCTGCACAATTATATCATGCGAGCACCAGAAAAAGTATGATAACTTTATTATTTTTCGTCTTCGGTCCAAAAGTAGGGTATCGTTGAAGTCGTCTCGGTCTCCTCAGTTCAGATAGATACTTAGTCTCGAAATTCCATAGGTGGTTATCTATATGATAATTTCCCTAATTGTATTAATATTTTAAACCGTTTGATTTTCTTATTGTTTTTTTTTTAATTGGTTGATGATTGACTGTATCAACTAATTTGTCGATTGTTTGATTGTACTGTATTAACTTGATTCTTTAGATATCGAAAATTAAATAAAGAACAATATGTTAATTTAAGCGTAAAGAAACGTTGCTGTTGTTCCAGCAAAGATCTTATTTTTAGTTTACCGAGTGCCTACTAGGTAATGTGCAGACTAACTAGATAATCTGCACATCACCTAGGTAATTTGAAAATTAAAACAATTTTAGCAACTTTAACGGATCACCCTAGTTAAACTTCAGATTTGCTAGGTAATGTACACATTAACGACTTTCGAGCTTTAGCGGTAACATATATATATATGTTACCGCTAAATATTTATATGTATACAAAAGATATATATATATATATCTTTTTTTAATTTTTATTAACTACTTTTTGCTTTCTTTACTTCACTTCTACCAGCACATTCACTGGATAAAGGCTGCTTGGTAAAATATCTATCCATAGAAATTTGGCCTTGCCTACTTTTTAAAATGTTTCTAAAATGACTTAGGCAAATATCATTACTCCGAACAACAATACGGGTAGTGTGAACCTTTTCGATATGTTTCGCTTCAATAAAAAAGTCACTTTCTGGCAATATCTCAAGATTTCCTTTATCGAGTGAGATCCTTTTACCAATGGCGTAGCGTGAATGTCAGCCGCCCAAGGCGGAGGTCCGGGGAGAAGAGGAGGAGAAGGCCCGGGGCGGGGTTTTGCCAACCTCTTATTTAGGTTATACAGTAGATCTGTATAATGCGTAGATACGTTTCTCGTTATACGAATTTCGCGTTGTAGGAATCCTTAAATACAGGAGCCAATCGCAGCCCGACACGTGTGAAGTTTAGGGACTACGGCTGTTTGAAAGGTTTTCTTTCATAAAATTAATCGATTCTAGACTAATTCGACTTAACATTTCCAAAATACGTATAATTTTTTGGGAATAATCCGTATAAGCTATGCTATAAACAAAAAATTGTAGGATTACTTGCCGAGTGTGCGCCGTTCGACGTCGCCATCGCTTAAGCTTGTTTTTGTCGCGGAGCAGCGGCGGCCGCGATTTCTGATAAATTATTTTTCTGCGAAAATTTCGTTGAACTTTGGAGACATCATTAATATAATATAATATATTTTTATGGCCGTTGAATGACAAATGTTTTTTTCACAAGAACTGTATAAAATTACAGTGCTGTATTAGACTTACCATGCCTAACTTACATACTGTACACACGATAGTAAACTCAACTTACTCGCCTAAATTCTCCGTAGCGTGGCGCTGGACGGCGGAAAGTATATATATAATTATAATAAAGTTAAAATAAATTAAGTTAATATATAATTATATATACAGTACCTAATTTTTATATAATTAATATATGATTATATGTACAGTACTTAATTTATATATAATACTGTACAGACAATAGTAAACTCAACTTACTCGTCTAAACTCTCTGTAGCGTGTAAGTAGTTCGGCTGCTCGTCTGCGATGACGAGTTGGATATGACGTTTTACCGCGTTTTACGCGTTTCTTTTAGCGTCTTTATACGAATATTGTCGCAATTTTTTCGCCATGTTATAGGAATCTCCGTTATAGGAACCCGCGTTATAGGGGGTCTACTGTATCTCAATTTAATAGACTAAAATTCAAATTTGTCACTGAATAAGTAATGAAAAATTCCGTGCTCATTTCAAAGGTGCGACAAAAATATGAAATGTAATGGTTCAAATTTTTACAAGATATTCTTATTATTCATTCTGAAATTTTGCCGCCCCCTAAAAGTGCCGCCCGGGGCGGGCCGCTCCTGCCGCCCCCACTATGCTACGCCACTGCCTTCCTCGACGAAGCACACACTCGAAATGAGACCGATGAGCAAAAGTGAATTAAAAATGGTGCTGCGAACTAATGAAACGTCGTATGATGAGTTTTTGTTCGTATCGTGGAGAAAAAATATGTCCGAAATTCGTATGTTGGAGCGTTCGTATCCTGAGGTACCACTGTAATATCAATTGTAAATGTGATAAAGTTTTCAGAATAAAAGTTCAAAAATTGTATAATCGTAGAAGCAGTAATAAAT